ATGGAGAGTTAGAGGGGCGCCTGGGTGGCTCAGTGGGTTAAAGCCTCTGTCTTCGGCTCAGGGCATGATCCCAGGGTATTGGGATTGAGCCCCGCATCAGGCTCTCTGCTCGACAGGGAGCCTGCTTCCTCCTCTCTCTCTGCCTGCCTCTCTGCCTACTTGTGTTCTCTGTGTGTCAAATAAATAAATAAAATCTTGAAAAAAAATGGAGAGTTAGAAAAGAGGTGTTAATTCTTCAACAGGCATAGGCCTACTGAGATCAATCACTTGTAAGATACAAGTCAGTACCTAACACTCTATTCTCTCTAGCACCATCTAGAGATGAAGACACTCTGAAATAGAATGTGACCTGGGATGAAAGACACTGAATCCTTACATGAACGTGTGTTATTTTACAGGGGTGAGACACACACAGATACAGTTGACTTTAATGTTAACACTGATATCAACAAAAAGGTTTTCATGAGCACATTAAAATTCAGAAACAAAAGGCTCTGGGTATGTTGGAATAGTCAATAGATCTGTCTCCTTGATCACTGACTGGGATTATGTATCCCTGTTCCTTAGTGTTAGTAAATGAGCAGACAGAAGAAGATGCATAAATTCATCTCTTGTTTGGGAAGAAAGACATATAATAATTTAGGGAGCTCTCAATACTTATGATGAGAATTATTCCGTGAAACTATACATATGGGAGGTATCTGCTGGTCTGTGACTCCCTTGTGAAAGCAAAGCCCAATGATCCAGCGACTTCTAATGGTTATAAACAAAGGCACTTTAAATAAAATGCTTTCAGGACACCAGCTATACAAATTTTACTATAATGCAAGAACTAACTAATCTGGGCCTTCAACAGACATTCATATTCCAAGAGCTTGATACATGGGACATCTTTTGTCATATAAACAGTGTCATAAAGGATACTTAGGTCAGGAAACAAAAAAATTAATCTAATCTGTTACATTTCTAGAACCAGGGGATTTGGGAGCCAGAAGGGACCTGGGGGACCAGTGCTCTAAGCCTGGGAAGATTACGGGCTTGTGGGAAATCCAGCCTCTGAACGTAGACTCCAAACTCAGGCCAGGAGTTCTTGGCCATTCTTGGCTCCTTCAGGAATGCTGCCCTTGCATACCTAGATGCAGACCCTTCTAAGAATTGCTTTGGCCAGGACTTTCTCCCAGAACCATTGGCATGGCCATCTGCCCAGTGGTAGAGGTGGTGCTCACTTCTGGGCTCTAAGGATCACATGGTTTAGGGGGTTGACCCCTAAGCTTTGATGGAATAAAATGACTTCAAGGACAAAATGATTCTTTGGGAATCCAGCACCCAAGAGGTTTCTGGGCTCCTCCTAGCTCTGCAAGCGTGTTCTTCCATTGGTTAAAATTCAGAAGGTAGGTACCACCCTCCAACCCCCAGAGAAAGTGAGCCACCTATAGGACAAGTTTGCCTACAGCAAAGAACTGAATCCAGTCAAGATAAAATGCTTCTTCTGCCACTGGGCAGGATTCTAAAGCCCCGGTTCTTATGTGGGTTGTCATACTAAAGACAGTAAACAGCCACTGATATCCAGTGTCTGAGGGAACATGCACATTCCTCTGCTTTGGCTCCCAGAGAGCAGGGCCAGTGTGGGAGGCAGGGGGACAGTGACGGCTGAGCAAACCTCTCTCTGCATAAGGCAAAGCTCCTCTTAATAAGGCAAAGGCAATTAGTAGCCAATTGGGCATTGGGATTTCTTCGCTGCCTACACAGCACTGAAGGATTTGTGAACTGGGGACCATGCATTTCTCCTGTTTAGTTACCAACTTAGTCTGGTTTCCCAGAAGCAGATGTGAGACAGGGATTTAGTTCATGTGGGAGGCGATCCTTGGAAATAGTGGTGGAGAAGGTGGAGGAGGGGTCCGTGGGGGCAGGGGAGGGAAGGGAGTCGAGGAGGACTGTTCATCCTGTTGGGTGCCGGGAACTCGGGGAGTCAGTATGCAGCTCTGCCCCAGAGTCACCATGCCCACAGAGGCCAAACAGCTGGGGCTGCTCCCAGCTGGGGTTCTTGCTCTCCCTTTCAGCCTGACTTTTGCAGAGGAAGAAAAGCTCCTGCTGCATCAGGGGTCTTCAGGCAGCTAGACTTTGGGCCAGTATGCATTGCTAGAGTAAAGGGGTTGGGGAGCACTGACCACTTCTGAAATCATTACACAAGCCCAGTTCCACTCCCAAACCATGCTGTGTGCCAGCCATATGTGTGTGTGTGTGTGTGCGCATGCACGTGCACACATGCTGTACAAATCAGTCATGGTTGGCCCACAGGGGAAGTCATAGTTATTCTGATACTGAAGATGGGAACGTGGGGCATTCTCATGTAGTGCCTTCCCACTTATATTCTACCTAGCACGACAAAACCCCAGATGTGGTTACAGACCTATGTTAGACATGCCAGGTGTCAACTGGAAATAGGTACTAAGTCGTTGCTTCAGTACCTGAAGATGGATGTTAACTCACAGCCATGAGGTTTATAGGGGATCTGGTATTTGCTGGGCTTCTGCTATGTGCTAAGCACCATGCTGTAAAATTCAACCCTCACAACTCTATCAGGGAGTACGATTATCCTTATTTTACAGATGAGGCCAAGATGTGTTTATGCAATCAACCATGAGGCCCAGGGCTGAGTCCCAGGGATCAGCTGAAAAACACAGCAGGTGTGGGCCTGTCTCAGTGCTGACAGCAAGCTCAGGGACTGCAGGGCAGTTGTGGCTGTGGAGTGGAGGAAGAACTGGAGTAGTCATGCATGGTCTGGAGGGACAGAGAGAGCAGCTGGGGGACAGGGTCCAGCGGGAGGCAAGAAATCACCTTGGCTTGTTCTAAGCACTAGCCAAAGTTTGCAGAGTTTGCAAATTGCATGGTTGCATTTCGAATTCAGTCTTATCTTGAAGCCTATCTCTATATCCTTTTGCTTCTAAATAATAGTGAAGATATAAACCTGTATTTCTGTGTTCCCATCCCAGAGTAAACCATGCCTGATGAGGAAAATATATGTTAATTATCTTTCTCAGTTTGCTCCCCAGATTTTTACATACAATAAATGATAGCTGATGGATATTTTAATGCACTGATTCATGGTAGGCGAGGGGAAGACTTAAATTTTGAGAAACTGACATATTTGGGAACTTGAATAAAAGCAACCCTCCTAGTTTCTTGCTCAGTGAGGGCACGGGGCAGAATGGGGGCTTATCTTAGATTTTTCTTGCCCTGGCTCCTCCTTTCCCTGTTCACGTTCTGCCCAAGAGAGCACAGCGCAGACTGGCTGCTCTGCTTCCAGAAGGTGAGGCCTGCAGGCTGACAGGGGCTGGGAGTCCATGACTCATCATGGCCTGGCGGGCTGCTAGAACAGCAAGCCTGTGGGGAGCCTTGTGACCATCAGGCAGCAAAGCCAGTAGGATGCAGAGGCATTGTAAGAAATACCATGATATTCCTCAGTTACCATCTGGCTCTGAGTTCTGGCAGACAAATGTGACTGTCATGGGATATTGGTTCAAGTAACAGAGAGGAGCAGAGCCCATTACCACGGAGGAAGTGATGGGTTGGAGCCCACATCCCAGGGAGGGGTTGCCTGTGAAGGCCACGCTCCGGCCTCCAGCCTACAGATGTGGCAGGGGACAGATGTGTGCACATCCTTGGGCAGAGGACCTGACAGACTGAGGAGTAGGAGAATTCGATGGCTATGGAGGGTGGGACAGGAATGAATGAGATGCAGAGTCTGAGCTGTCGGAGGGCTCAGGGGCTCGGCGGTGGGAGAGGGCCCCCAGTTGGCTCTTAGCCGGCTCTTGCCATATCCGTGCTCTTGCTGGCTTGGCCTGGCTCCTCCCCCAGCTTGGCTGTTGTGCAGATGAAGGAGCTCATCCCTCACTCATGTGCGCTACCAGGAACTTGTTAGCTTATATAATGTACTCTCAGAAGAGGGGAAAAAACTACCACAAGTGCCAAGAAATCTACATGTTTCCAGGCAAGACATTATCTGATTACAGAAGAGACAGCTCGTCATAGTAAAGAAGGGACCTGTGATTTGAGGCCAAGCAGGTCTGGGATGCAGCCCCAGTTCTGAAGCTGACTAGTTATGGGCCTTGCGTAAGTGCCTTCAGGACAAGCCTCTGCATCACCTTCAAAGGGTTTTTATGAAATGAATTCATTAACATAAGCAAAGCACTAGGCACTCAACAAATGTTAGCTTCCTTCTCTTCCACTCGAAGCAGTAGGGATAGCCTGACTGTCCAGTGGCCAAGTCTACAGGGATGTGCTTGGAGAAGCTGTAGAGGAAAGAATGGGGGTAGAGCACTGATTGCGGGGTAGGGGCCCAGGACCCCCCCTTTCTGCCAGAGGGTTCTTCCTTCTGTGGTTTCCTAGCAATGCCCTTGGGTAGTTAGGGGGGTGGTTTGGGACTGGAGATCAAATGGTTGGGTTTTGGGGGCTTTTACCTATTTTAAACACCAGGATTCCAAATAAGGCTTGTTTGGAAAATGATTTTGAGGCTAAGACAAGCCCAAATATGCAAACTGCAGGGATAAATGACATAACAGGCCACATTTAGCACAAAGATCATGGTCTGAAACATTGCTGTTGACTAAAAGGGGGATGGTGAGATGCTCTCAACCCACAGGCAAAGTTCCTCTGGGAAAGGGTGGGGGAAGGAAGAAGTAGCATGGCCCTTTACCAGCAAGAGAGACTGTGAGCATTAATTATAGGCTTGAAGGGTAGTTCCCAGTATAGACTAGGAAGGATAGTTAGTAGAAGGACAGGACAGATCTCGGAGGCCTGGGACCCGCGGGGCCCTTTCCTGGATTGAACCACTTAGCTTGAATCAGCAGGAGTTTCTGGGGCTCTCCTGCATGCATGGGATGGGCATTTGAGAGACAGCTCATGGGGAGCCCAGCACAACTCTGTGCAAATACAGAACTTCCTCTGCCCACCTCCCCACCCCCCTGCTGCACACATGGAGCTGCCTTCATAGCCCTTACCTTCTTCAGCTCTTCCTGGACGCCCTGGCTGTTGTCTTCAGAGGACAGACTTTCCTTGTGGTTCTCAGACTCCATCTTGGGCTCTGACTCCTGATCTTCTCCCGAAGACGTCTCCTTCTCACTCATTTTCATTGCTAACTCATACAGCCTGTTTCTCAGTTTCTCCTCGGTGGTGGCCACGCTGGTCCGAGGGTGCTGAGGTTCATTACTGAGGTCAGTCTCTGACAAATCACCCGACACCTAAATGCAAGCCGGAAGCATGAGCTGAGGACTCCTCTGCCACAGTCAGATTTGTTTGTTCCTAGTCAACCCCAGGAAAGGACAGTCCAGGAAAACCAAGCTCTCTTAACTTGATCTACTGTCTCTACATGTGAGCTTTTATTTTTCACTTTTACTTTCTCAAACATGTGCACCTTAACACTCTGTTCCAGGGGTCAGGCAGGGGAGCATCTGTACTCAGAAACATGTTTGAATTCATTGTTTTTCATTCACAAGGTGCTTACTGAGTCCCCGCCTTGTGCTGATGGTACAAGGCTGAGCACACCTGGTTGGCAGCCCTCAGGTGGAGGTGACATGGTAGTTCTAATAGCCCATTAAGGGGCAGTTAACGGCAGGCCTGAAAGTTTGGGAAAGCTTCCTTGTGGAAGTGTTCAAAGTGGAAGTGCTGTTTAAAGCATAGCAGTTACCCAGCTAAAAGGGAGAGAGCAGATGAATGGTATTATAGGTTAAGGGCAAAGATTTTGAGATGGTGTGAGGTCCTTGCACTTAGGTAGGCAATAATGTATGGCATTCCCTTGATAATTACAGTCCCAGCTTAATAATGACACCTTTGGCTCCTACTATTCCATTTGGTGAACACCTCCGAAGTTTCTTATAGGAGTAGATCCCTGACTTGGCCTGGGAAACTTCAGGAAGACAGGGAGATGGTGACTCTCAATCTATCCTTAACTTTAAGTTGGACAGACGTGTATGGAATTTTAACACGATAACTCTCAGTATACCATTAGGGTCCATTAGACCCAACTTTAGTTTTTGAGTTTCCTCTTTGAGTTGCTCTGTCTATTTAAAAGGCTTGATATTTCATTGCTTTCACTCCTTCTTGAAGGGTTTCCAAAGAACACAGAGAAAATTTACTTATTTTTTAAAAATAAAATAAAACTCATTCTATTTTGTAATTACTATGTGGGTTCATTGGACCCTTTCATAAATCTATGATGCACGATGACATCTTTGTGATCTTATTTCTCCTATCTTTTGAAATATCTTGCTCTTTCATCATCCTGGGAATTATCTTTCATTATTACTCATCAATTATTCCCAATTATGCTAAAAGAGACCAAAGTAATAAAACAGAAGAATGAAATGGCCTGGAGGGATGATTCAGTAATGAAATAAATCATCATTTATTTAGAGTCTGCTTTTAGCTCATTGCATACAGTTGAGAATTTAGAATTTTTCATATTCGCAAAGAGAAGAAAAGTGACAGAGAATAACATTTCACAATTATTAGATGACTCAGAAGATGAACTCAAAGAGAAGGAGAACAACTCTTTAGACTCTAACAATGACAGTAAGTTGATTGTATAAGTAAAGTCTCAGACTACAAGATGAAGGTGAGTTTTCTCAAACTCAAGAGTAAACTATTTATAAGGACAAAAGGAAATATGGTATTTTCATTTAATTCGTCATTCAACAGGAAGGACTTCATATGTAACATTTTGTCTCAAGAATCTGGACCATCTTGTGCTAAAAAAATATGAGAGAGATTCTTTGATCCTTTATGATGTTTGTGCATCAAATTTACTTGACACCATTGTAACTGGACAAATGTTAAAGGCAGTTGTCTATATAAAGGTCAGTCGAAGGAAACAGATGACACAGAAGTGAAAAAGAAGAGCTCCTAGGTTGATAAAAGAGAGTCCACTGGAAATGACTGTTTCTCTGGTCCTGAGCAAGAATCCGTGATGAGGGTCTTACAAGAGGTGATCTGTGCTCCCAGCATGCTTGAGAGAAGGAGGATTCTTTTGTCTGGGGACACAGGGAATCTCAATGGGAAGAATGACCTCTGAACAGACTCTTGAAAGATGAGCAAAGTTTTAATATGTAGACATGGGGCCAGACCTTCTTGATGAGGAAACAGCAGGACCAGTAAGACCCAGGGTCCATGAGACTGCTTGGTGTAGCTAGAACAATAAGGCCCAGAAATGGGACAGTGCAGGGCTTACAAGTGAGGAGAAAATGGGCCTGGGTCAGACTGCAGAGGGTTAAGGATGAGCCTAAGTCGCTGAGCTTGTCTACCAGATGGTCTCACTGCCACCATGTGTCTGCACATTAAACTCGCCCGAAAGTCAGCAACTGGCCACAGACCCACACTTGGGAACCTTCTCTTATCACCTCACTCAACAGATTGAACACACTGAAATATCAATTCATCTTAACTCCTACTTTGCTTTCTTTAGCTTTGGCCTCTTTCTTTACCTTCTAAGAACCTTTGAAGACTTGGGTCAATGGTGATTCAGTCCATAGTCAGCGAACATGCACTGAGTGCCTACTATGTGCTGGGCCTGTGCTGACCACTGGAGCTCACAGGTGGGAGTGACAACCCTCCTGCTCTGGCGGCATTCACAGTGTGATGGAGAGACACCATCTTGACACACTGTGTGCAAGGCACACACATGAGCATTTGATGGGATCATGGGGAACCCTCACCTGGTTGGTTGGATGAATGTTGTCGGGAGAGAAAGAAGAAAAGGTGACAGCTGAGTGAACTCTACAAGAATGAACTCCTAGAGATGATCAGGATTTATATGTCAAGTTTTATCTGAGTGTTGAGAATTGTACGAATGCTAAATGATGGCCCTGGAGTTCAATAAACACTGTAGGCATATGCACTAGGATCCGACACCAGGAGAGGTGATACCACGAACAGAGATGGAAGCATCCTTATCAAAGCCGCCACAGCTTCAAAGCTTACTAAGTAATATTTGGCCCTGTAATATTTATCAAGTACATCAACAAATATATCTTCAAAGAAATGGATCCTACAAAGGATCAAGCCATCCCTACTTCATGTTATAAACTTACACGCTTTCCCTACATACTGATTTTCATGTCAGTCTCCACGGGAGCTGGGCAGTAGACGTTCAGTTGGGGTCTTAGCTAATGGGGGTCTGTGGTTGGCCTCTGTGGATCTTTGATACTGTGTGCAGACTTCGATTTAAACACACACTTTTCTAGGGGGAGGGGTCCTGGCTTTCATTAGATTTTCACTGGCACCTATGCCCCCAAAGGGCTAAGAAACATTGAAAAGAACACACAATTTACTTCCTGGTGAGACAACAATAGATAAATACATGTTACTTGATTACAGGATGGCAGACTTCCAGCTGAATTCAGAGGAAGAGGGAGAAGGGCAGTTGTTTTCCAGGGTCTGTTGGGAACCTGGACCCAGCATGTAGAGAAGATGAGGATCTGCAGAATCTCCAGCCTGAAGAATGTTCTCTTTGTACTTCAAAGGAACCTTGACTATGAAAGTGTTGGGCAGTGACTCAAACAGATTACCAAGAGCATTATAAAGACAGTGGAGATTCTAAGAAACTTTTGTGACAGGAAAAAGAAAAAAATCAAGCTGGGTAACTGTCAGCAATATGTGTATCTGGGCAGAAAATATTTTCCATAATTGGTTGAAAATCAGAATTTTCTGCCTGCTGGTGCTTTGTCTCAATGCCCCCACTTTACAGATTGGCATTGGTCTGTAGAAGGGGACATTATTTTGAAAACAAGAAACTCATGTTTTTCAGTTCCCACTAAAACTGCATTCCCTTGCCTCTTCATTTTCTTAGCTAAGCCTAAGCATTTTACCCTAGAGAAAAGAGTATAGATCCAGAACGAACAGATCATGGGTCATTGTTCAGCTCACCTCTTTAACATGGTGACCGCATGGTCCAGATTTTATGGAGAGACAGCAGAGGTTTCTAGAGGCTGAGGTTCCCTAAAGTTCAAACGCTGGATTTTGCTTGTTCCTTGGTTGGGATTCAGGGAGGAGGAGCCTCATAGGCTGTCTGTGGTCTCTGGCCCTTTCGCCCCTAATAATTTGGGGCAGCTATAGCAGAGTTGACTCAGACCCTGAGGAAAGGCTTCAGAGGAAGACCTGAAGGGCTCCGGGTCCCCCAAGCTCCTGTGTGAAGCAGAGAATATCCAGAAGCGGGCTTATGGAAGACTGTGGGTGGTGCTGGAAGGTGAGCTTCCCAGGGACTCCTACGGTGGGAGGGAAGGGCTGCCTTGGGGCTAGACAGTCAGGGCCCTGGGTCTGGTGGGGAATGAGAGTAACAGCCACGATGGGGCCCGAGGGAGAAGGACCAGGTTCTGACCTTGTACACAGGGAAGAGACCACAGGTTCTCAGGCCTTAGGATGATAGCAGGGCGGGAACAACTTCATGAACAGGGGCCCCATCACTAAGAAGACCTGCAAGGACAGATCTCAGCCCTCAGATGGCCCTGCAGCCACAAGGCCACCAGAGGCTCCCCCTCAGGCACTCCCAGATGGCAAACATGGGGAAGTGGAGGGGTTGGAGGGTTGATTATTTACCTAGAAGAGGAAAGATGATTTTAAAGAGATAAAGATGTTGAAATCAGAAGAGGCTTAGAGTTCCTGAATTGGCTAGTTTATATTGCTGGCTCTGCAGACTGGGGAGGTGGAGGAGGAAAGGTGTGGTAGTTACAGAAGGACAAAACATCCCCTCTTCCTTGCACCTGTCAATGTAGCATGTGGAACTGGAGACCCAGGCTAAATAACAAACTATAGTTTAAAACACTTAGTGACGGAATACTCATTAAGATAAGCTAGGATGGTTTCTTAAACAAGAGTCTGCTGATATATTCTCAGTGGTCTGCAAGTCCCTATTTATAATAATTTTTAAATTTCGGTTTTCCTTTCATTGATCATCTGGAAAGAAGGCACCGTCTCAGTCACCAGGGCAACAGAGTGTTGCCAACCTGACCTCCATGGATCTTAGGTTTTGAGCCAGGTATCCTCTGAATGATTCCTGAGGAATCTGGGGATTCTCAAGTTTGGGGAAACACAGAAAGGGAAGCACATGGAGGTGAGGCGGATGTGAGTGGGGGCCAGGCCTGGACGGTTCTCAGAGCTGAGCACATTAGTGTGGATGAGTACTGCATAGGGCCCAAGACACGCCAGATCTCATTCAAGTGGCCTGGTAGTTCTCTCTGTATCCACAAGG